TCAGCGATCGACGGATATACCTCCAACAGAATGCGGACACCGATGTAACGGTGAATTACATTGCGATTTTTATGAAAACTACAACTACATTACATCACGTCCTCTCACCCCAGAGCGAGGCATTTCCGTTGGTGCACGAGTTGAAAGTACCGTGCATCGGTAGGCTGGAGTATGTTGATCTTCTGACTAAACTATATCGGAAAATATTTTTCACTGGAGGCTGAACATTTTTTTTAATTATACTAATTAAAAAAAAAGAAAGGAAAAAGAAAGTCTTGAAAARTCTCAAGAAATGAAGTAGAAAAAATTTACGGCTTCATGAGGGCTCGAACCGCGAACCCCGCAATTAATACTTTGACAACGCCGTGAAAGCAACACAACTGTTGAGCCTGGGCCCCCCTGTGGGAATTATCCTGTTATTCGGACATAAAGATCGGACTAAATTGTGAAAAACACTTAAAAAACTTTGATCATTAYAGTTAATGCTGTAGGATGAAATCTGTGATAGATAAAGAGAGATAAAAAATAAACTTCACTTACCAGCGACGAAGTTGAGCACGTGGAAAACCTTGTCTCCTGAGCCAGCGTTTTTCTTTGTCAGCGTCGTTGGCTACGTCATGGTGGAGACATATGTGATAACTGCGCATATTCATTCACACGAGATCATACGATTGGATATTGTTGAGATTCGAAAACCCACATCCGAAAAGCAAGTTCAAGAATCCTTGTATATATACTGTGGTTTTCCATTACAATCGATATTTGATGTGCTGTGTCTTTGTTGCTACTAAAATTTTAATAGGCCAGGAATGGTATTTTAAGGCAAATTTAGACATATACAATACAAAAATAAATTAAATCTCTTGTTTGGCTGAATGACTTACACATCCTCTTAAAAGAACTCTCCTAGCTGCATTTTTCAAATTTCATGCTCCATGATTTGTTAGCAAAATCATGAAATAAACATGAAATCGAGGGTCTTCTTTTCAATGCTTACCTGTTAATCATTTCTTAAGTCAAAACATGTCAGAATTGGTCCATAATATCTAGCTTACCTTATGAATAATACTTTGTATGCTGTTTTAAGCTGTCACGTGACTATTTGATACATGAAAGTGAGGCTTGAAAATTTATCACTTTTCTATGAATCTAATTTAGCTGGATTTCTTTAGCCAAACTTTCAAAAAAATAAAAGCTAAGTATAATTACAATATTTTAGACTTATCTGAGAAACTTTACATTGAATTTAAGTGAAAAGCACGAAAACGAGGCTGTTGGCCAGCGGTCTTTCCCATTTTTTGGTCAGTGGTATTTCCCATTAAGAATGTGGTCCGCCATGTTTACTTACAGAAATTACAAAGATGCAAATGACCACATTATACATGTCCTTTTTTAATGGCTACCTCCTTAAATGAAAAACAAAAAGCTGATTTAAAGTTATGCATCATATGTCAAGAAGTAAGCAAGGAACATTTAGTTGAAAATCCAACATCTCATGCAAAAACTGTTCAAGCAATTAAGGAATGGGCATCATTTAGAGATGCAAGATATGTAGAAACCTGGGAAAAGATTTCTGGTTACTCGGTAGAATTTTTCAGAGAAAACAAAGTCTCATGGCATAGGTCTTGTTACAAGGATGCTGTTAACTCTAGTAAACTTAAAAGGGCAAARTCCCGATATGRAAATCAACTAGAAGTTGGTCCAAGTGCAAAGCGTAAATCAGTTGATAATGAAGAGGGTGTTCAGTTCACAAGATCACAGACAACTCCATATAATAAGAATGTATGCTTTTTTTGTGATGGGGTGGCTGGATATCGCCAAAGTCTCCATAACGTCTCAACAACATCAGCCGGAGAATCGTTAAAGAAAGCCATTGAAAAATCATCAAATTCTAACTTGAAGGTTAAGCTGAATTCAGCAATAAATCCCAACGACGCCCATGCCATTGATATAAAATATCATAATAAGTGCTGGACCAAAAATGTGACAAATGTACTTCGAACAAGGGAATCATGTCAAGGGTCAGGAGCATCAGTATCATCTATSAATAGCGCAAGCAAAGCAGCAGCACAAATAGAATTCTTAACCCTAACCCAAGAAAGTCTTAGAAAAGGAAAGCCAACAACCATGTCAGATCTCCAAAATTTGTATGACGAAATCATTGAGGCTAGTGATGCAGGTGCAACATGTACAAGAAAGACACTAAAGGGACTACTCCAAAGGGAAATTCCAGATATCGAGTTTCATAAACCAAAGCGCCTGAATGAATCGGAAAGAGTGACAATCAAAAGTGCRCGTGATTTTGCTGTTCAATTGTTAGAGGATTGTCAAGGATCCGAAGAAAGTCCAGAGAATGATTATGATGAAGAAATGAAGATCCTTTTTGACGCAGCGTCTATATTGAGGAAATCTATTAACAAATGCAAAGCCTGGGACTTCACTGGTTCGTTTACTGATGTAAGTAAAGAACACATTCCAGAAGAGCTTACCTTATTCAGCAGATGGTTAATCAAYGGAGCAGTAAGTGAAAGTAACAGCACACAGAAGTCCGCAGAGATACAAAAGCGAGCATTAAGTCTATCTMAGACCATAATAACAATGTGCCTTACCCAGCGGCAGGAAAGAAACCAAAAGTCACAAGTATTCAAGTCCAGGAAAGAGATGCCTCAACAGTTAGCAGTTGGCTTGGCTGTTCGGCAAGCCGTAAGAAGCAAAGAAATTGTTAATATGCTTYATGGTTTTGGGATGTGTGTAGAATATAACAGGTAAGAAGAAATTCATAATTTCATTGTTAAGTATGTTACTTATATTTAAATGCAAAAATTCAGGATCMTTAGAGTTGAGGCCCAGATAGAACAGAATGTTTTACAGCATATGGTTCGAAATGGTGGTATATTCCTTCCTCCAGAGTTCGTTCGTCACAGACATATCTTCTTCGCTATTGATAACACAGATTTTTCTGAGGACACTCCTGATGGGAAAAATACTCTTCATGGAACGGCAATGGCCATATACCAAAGASTTAATAAAGGAGACATAATTCCAGAAATAAGGTTAATRTTTCCAAAATTGTGAACTCAAAATGGCTATGTTTTAACAAACCGKTATGATTTTTAGATTASAAGCTCAAAAAACTCTACAGCGCTCGGTTGACGTACCTGAGACATTTTACGAGTTAACAGAATGCCAGGAACCGTCAAAAACTCCCAAATATACTGCRCATCCAAAGTTTCAGCTATATGATGATGATGAACTTCCAATAATCATCAGAGAACAAGATTTCGCTTGGCTCCTTGGCCGCACTTTGTCCCGAAATYCAGCATCACAATCCCCAGACACCAATGACACTAGAGAGCCTCTGCAGCATTCAACGAATGTCCCTGTGTGGTCGGCATACAAATCTATTATTCAAGAACCCCTAGATCTTACAAGACGAGCAGTTCCACCACTGATACCAGCACCTGCGCATGAGTGGAGTACTTTACTCACAGTACTAATGCAGGCACAGAAGATCAATTCCTTTGTCCTTGGGCCGGGCAAAAAGACAGTCATTTCTTTGGATCTTGGACTCTAYATGCCTGCAAAGAGATTGCAGATGGCCAGAAATGATCTGAATCATTTGATTCTTCGTCCTGGTAAGGCATACAAATCTCACCAATTTTGTAATTTCCAATTGACGAATTTCTCCAATTATTTTGAACATATATCTTGAATAGTTATTTCTTGGTGTTGTAGGTGAATTACATATAGTGATGGCCCAGCTAAGAGMCATAGGGTGCTACATCGAAAACAGSGGTCTGGACACATGCCTGATAGARGCTGACCTGTATGGACCATCAACAGTTAAGCAGATCATCGAAGGAAAACACGTCAGACGAGGACAGGCAGCGCACTTGATTGCTCTACAAGCACTTTTCTGGTTATATCAACAGGCGTTCTTTCACTCAGAAAATCGATGTTATCAAAGATTGTTGCAAGTATCAAAAGAGCTMGATGAAGCGTGTGCACGTGGAAACCAAGAGGAGATAAATTTAGTCAATCAAAGAATGGAAGATGCAATCAATTCATCCAACATTGTTGAGAAAATGTCAGCATTTGACAAAGCTAATGAGAAACGACCTATTTTTAAAGTCATGCGCCAGTATATGAGAATGGTCACTGAGATGTTAGTATTTATTCAGGCTGTGAGAACTGGCAACTGGAAGCTACACCTTTTAGCCCTGGCTAAGTTCGTTCGCTACTTTTTTGCCCATGATTTGATCAACTATGCACGCATGATTCCCCTCTATCTGGCAGAGATGGAAGAATTAAAGACGACAGATCCTGATATTGTTAGAGAGTTTGAAAGTGGGAACTGGGTTGTCAACAACAACAGCCATTCTTCCTTTTGCGCAATTGGTGCTGACCATGCACTGGAACATKKGAATCGTTCYATGAAGGTTGCAGGTGGGCTGGTTGGYATAACTCAGAATCCACATGCGCGAAATAAATTCTTCCTTATCTCCCCCGAGCTGGCAAGAYTATCGAGTGAAGCAAAGAATATGGCAGGACTATCAAACCTTAAAAAGCAAAACAAGGATCACCATAACTTGACTGACGCTGTCAGGATAAGAGAAGAGAAAGCCGTCACACACATGAAAACCACAATTGAAAGTTTTACTGACCCCTTTGAAGAAAATAGTGATTCTCTCTTTAACTTGGTCACGAAATCTGTTGTGGATGACAGAGTCAAAGRCGACCTATGCAACCAAAGCGAAATAGGAAAGAAGATGCTCACAAGCTTTATATCAGAACGAATAACATCAACCAATACTAATCTGTGGTCAAAAATGAAAAAGAGAAAACTTCTGACTTGGAAAAAGAATGGCAAGAAAGTTAAAGTGACGATGAAAAACCAGACAGTAGAATTGCAGGAAGATAGATCCTTATTTGCTCGACTAATGATGGTTGCAAAATCCCGTCCAGAGNCTAAGAGTAGACCTTCTCGACTTGGGCAATGAATAAGACAATTCTATATGTTCTCTATCAACTCTTGGAAAGAAACATAATGCAGAAAGAAATGAGAATTTTTTGGGACCAACATTTCTTACTAAACCGAGGAGGTCCAGTATACATGTGAGCATGAGACGGGTTATTCGTGTGTTTCTCGTTTTACCTACCCAAACACTTTGGATGAGGACTGGACCATTTTCCATCATTGCAAACTATTCTTCGTGAACCCACAAGTTCTGTATTTCCATTGCATGTGTATAAGACTTGCGAACCATGCTTTAAGTTGTTACTATACGTAGTTCTAATAGCATTTCGGGGAGTTCCAGGATCATCACACTTCTCTGGGATTGAAAGATTAATATTCATTTTTAGAGAAATCTATGAATAACTACCAGGCTTCATATATTTAAAAACTTGGAAATAAAACTCAAATATGCATAAATAATAAATGAACTCACTTTTACATGAAGGTACAGGCCGATTCCATCGTCCATCATTACATATCAGTGGTGCTGGATTATCMAGTGARTAGCCTTTAATACAGACATATCTTACACTGCTTCTGTGAGTAAACGTATTTCCAAATAGTACCCCATTAGCTATTGGTCCTGGACCTTGACATGGTGCTGTTTGGTTGAATAAAAAAAAACGCGAAAAGGCAGTAGATAAGAATAACGGTGATTGTAGTGTTTCAAGACGAATCAAATCCGAAGAGCACTGAGTTCAAATTCAGTCTGTTGCATTTATAATCAAATGTTTGAGCTACGAACTAGTTTATTAAACTCTAGGGGCACATACAGTTAACTGTAGTATTGGACAGTGAGCACTGTATATATAGCTTACAGTAGGTAAAGACAGTGAAAAGGAAATACCTTTGCACACTGGAATACTGGGATTCCATCGGCCATCGTTACAAACTGCAGTTTGCTGTCCAACAAGGGTGTAGTCATTGATACACACAAATTGGATTGAGGTGCCATGGCGGACTGACACTCCATCAGCGATGATTGGAGTAGTCTTGCTACTAGAAGGCTGACTATAGGCACACACCCCTATACGTTGTAATAAGTCAAATTTAGTGACAGGTCTACCAGGGTATTACCTTAAAATACTTCAATAATTACTGGTCACTGATATTGATTGACGCGGAATCGATGAGAGCAGAAACGCCAAACGGACTGAAAACGAAATGTTACTTGCAAAAAATCTTTTCTTTTCGTATTTAAAGGATATCCTCTTTCGTGCTCTTAAGACGCCAGTCATCTTTTCGTTGTACGTATTGTGAGGGTCATAACGCGCTTCTCTTCTATATTTCTTATCACTCACGTTTGCATGTAGGTACATCTCCACTCCACTTTCCCGTGTCCAAGCATTCCAGTGTTTTTAGGCCAACTAAGTCATATCCACGATTACATTCAAAGGTAACTCGTTTTCCTTCAAAGAATTCGTAACCATTTCTCCATCCATTGTAAGGACTTCCAGGATTATAACATTTACCTATAAACCAACAAAATATGCCATAAGACATGAAAAATTCATTCAAATCGATAAATTTGCATTGCTATATGAATAAGAGTCAGTCAATGATTGAAGAAGAAGGATAATGTAAATAAGACGAGAGCAAATAATATTGATAGGGATTCAAACTTGCTCTTAAAAAAGGAGTCAAAACTATTCCCCCAGTTGCTGTTAGAATCAACTCCAGAAAACGAGTCAACTGGTACCTTCTTTACTCCACTTTTGGAGTTATATCGGGAAAAAAACAGCGCTTTAAAAAAATGATATTGCACAGCTTTCCTTTTTGTAAAAATATGCCAACACGATTGAGCTTGACAACATCCAATGGCCGTCACCACGTGGTGGTACAAGCCCACCTCTATTGATTTTAAAAACATGGCACTGCAGAAATACATACGTTTACAAGATGGTGGCTTGTTACTCCATTTTCCATTGCGACAACGTGCGCTTGTGTCTCCAATAAGTTTGTAATTCCAGTCACAGTACATCGATACTCTATCTCCATTGTAATAAAAGCCATTTGCTGGACTAACGTAACCGTTGGGAGAATGTCTTGGTTTAGTACATCCCTCTGGAAATCCCAACGAACAATTGCGATCACCATAGAAACAGATAAAAACAGACTGCTAGAAATAACTCGAATGCAACCTGAAGAAGACTTACTAACGCACAGTCAATGATGAAAACAATATTTCAAATAACCTCGCTGGAAAAAAGTGCCATCTACATTGGTGTACTATATGGACATTGAAAAAGATGCAGTGAGCGATTATTTTTCAACATTTGGAAGAGTCTGTTTTAAGATTTTTTGTCCCTTTAACTTAACTGATATTATATTTGTTTACGGTTTTATTTACGGAGTATACTCAGTGCTTTGTAGCTTTTGACTTGTTGTTAATATTATTGCTCGTTTATTGATTTAATAATGTCAATGTCCATGTATTGCGTTAGTTTTGTTTGCGGAGATGAAGTTGCCAATGGACAAGAAAAATTATTTTGTTTAGATTATTAGATATAAACCCATGATGAGAAAGTCATATTCAGGAGTCATTTATTTCGATGATTGCAGTAATCGCTGTTATTATTTAACTCGCATAGATGAGCTATCGTTTGATATTAAAAACTTCCAAGCCAGCTCAATCCAGGAATCAACCACACCAACATCCAACCAAGTACCACCTTCATGTCAACCATTTCACCACATAAAAATGCTTCTTTGGGAACACAATTACCTATTCGGTCCATCTTCATAATCAATCAAAATAAAAAAAAATGAAATAACTATGTTCAATTAAACCCTACTCCTGATATTCAATGTTGTCAGCTGAATATAGTATGTCATGATCATGTTCTTACCCAAGCATGTTGGTGCCTTGTTATCCCAATTCCCATTATTGCATTCAATGTTCTTTTCACCATCCATCTTCCATCCACTCTTGCACGCGAATGACACTTTGTCAGCGTGGAGGAAGGAATGATGAAGGCGATAACCTCCCCTTGGTATTCCAGGATCTGAGCATGGACCTAAAATATTCAGAACGAACTCTTAAGACCCATTGTTCACCAGCATCCAATGCGCTCGTGTTTTAGGTTATTTATATTTAGAAAATGAGGTGACTGCAAATATCCATTCGCAATCCGTTTCCATCCGTCGGTTTTAAGGACGAATCTTACAATATCTCGATTCGTATAGCATAAATTGATAATAAAGAGTATTTTTTTGCTTATATTACGATGTATTTCTATTTTCAAACATAAATAAAAGCTCGTAACTGGGGCGTAACTGTAACTGATGCATACTTCACAGATACAAATAATTTTAAAAAAATCTAATTATCTATCAAGAGAGAAGCATTGTTGACTTACGTAAGCAGGTAGGTTTAGTTCCTGTCCATGTTTTGTCGTGCTGGCAAATGATATGCTTATCGCCTTTCAAGGTGTGGTTCGTCTTGCAGCTGAACTCAATTTTGCTCTCATAAACGTATTTGTCTAAATCGGGATTACGACCGCCATAGTCAAGTTTCCCAGGGTCTGGGCACTCGACGGCTAAAAATAAAAATAGCGCGTTAGGGCTTTTATCTATGTTTACTTAAGTACAATTTGAGCAATTTTAAATAAAGAAATCCAACATGCTTCATGTAAAATGGTGGGAACTAGCGGTAAACTAGTGTGAGCTGCGTCGGTGTTTCTAAAGAAACAGTTATGTGAAAAGATAAATTTAACACCGTAAAAAAGTATGTGGAAAAACTTACTTACTTTAGTAAGTTTTTCCACATACTTTTTTACGGTGTTAAATTTATCTTTTTACATGCTTCATGTAACATTTTTTATCCCATCCTTATATGCTATTCAACCAAAGGATAATATATTATAACAGGGAATGATGTTTTTATAAGCGACTTACGTTCACATTTGGTCAAAGTACCATCCCATTTACCATTTTCTTGGCAGACACGTCTACTCGACCCTTTAAGCTGATAACCCTTCTTATTACACCTAAAGGATACCTCGCCCAAGTAAGTGGACTTCGTTTCCCCGATCTTCTCTCCATGTTGAGGAGTTGGCAAACGACCACAGTCCACAGCTATAAACCAATAGGRAGATAATTAGTGAGATATAAGCTGTTGCACGATTGGTGGATCACCATTCTAATGTCAGGCTCCGGATAAGCCTTSTCAACAGACATCACAAAGAATCGCGGGCTTCCTGTCAAAAGATGACCGATAAAAAGAAAGCCAAAGAAGGAAAAAAGAGTTGACTTGGGAGGAGGAGGCACATAATGTGTATTYAACTTTTAAAACAATACCACTAAAGTCAATACGACTTCTGACAAAAGTGAGCGAGAACAAAGCAACATTCCAAAAACAACTATTCTAGGGACGGATTTAGGGAGGGGGGGGGAGTAAAAGTGCCGCGCCCCTCCTTTTGCTGAACAAAAATAAAAAAAACAATAACTAAAAAAGCAACAATAAAACATCGAAAAAAATAACTCTTAAAACAATTTGCACATTTGATTTTCATTTTTTATTTATTATTTGCACTTGAGTTGATGGACCAAAGGCAAACCCGCGAAAATTTCCCGCCTTTTTGTCGACGGCCCCCCCTTTGAGAATTTCTGGATCCGCCCCTGTATTCAGCCCAGTAAGACAGTAGGACTTGCTGGGCTTTGAGGGATTAATATCTACAACACCTCYAGAGTCACGACAGTACAATAAGCCAATACTTACGTTCGCATGTTGGTGTGTCATCACTCCAYTTTTGGTTACTTTGGCACTGTCTGAATTGAGGTCCAATGAGAATGTACCCGCGATCACATTCATAGTGTACTTTCTTCTTGAAAGTAAACAAGTACCCATTTCGTCGGCCGTTCTTAGGGGTACCTGGATCACCACAGCTCTTAGCTGCAAGGGAGTGAAATCATTAAAATCCATAAAGAATCCGCTATCAGTTCGTTGAAATTCTTGAAATTCTTGTACATTTTAAAGGCAGGTATATAACAGTGAATATTTTACCCATATCAAAAGTTCAATAAGCAAATTAAAGCGACATGGTCCACTAGCATGCAATGCAGTCACGTTCAGATTTTTCATATATGGAAAATGAGGTGACTTCGAATATCCATTCGCAATCCGTTTCCATCCATCGGTTTAAAGGTCGAATCTTAAAGCATCTCCATTCATATAGGATAAAGGAATAATAAAGAGTAAGTTTTTGCTTATATTACGATGTATTTCTAGTTTCAAACATAAACAAAAGCTCGAAATGGATGCTAGTAGAGCATGTCCCTTTAAGCTACACACTCTTTTAGGGTTTCGAACCTCTTTTATGTTGCTCTTTAGAATTCTTTTCATACTTCAATACTTACGGATGCATCGTAGTTTTAATTCACTCCATTTCCCGCCAACCGTGCAGCGTCTGACTCTATAGCCAGTGGTAAAGTGACCATACTCACAGTCATAAACAATAATTTCATTAAATCGGTATCTTTCCTTCAACCGTTTTCTAGTCCTTGCGTTTGCAGGGGTCGTGGGCTTCAAGCACGTTGGAACTGCAATAATGGAACTTCAATTGAAACATATGATAATGAGGTTTTATAAAAAAGGAAGGAAAAATGAGACGCTAGCAGTTAGTGTTCTGACAGAATAAAGAGACTAAGTGAGTAAGTGACTGACCATTAGAGTTTTGAGGGGAGGGATGGATGATTTAAAAATGTAAATTTCTAAAATTCCTGCAAGGCGAAATTTTCTCTAGAATCTGTGCAATTGTACCAAATTAATTTTAAGCGTAAAAAAACTTCCTAACCC